ATCAAGATGCTAATTTCTAAACAAAAGTTGCAACCAATATTTGCCCCATTTTATTGCCATCCATCACCTTTTACTTAATTTAAGTTGATACTACTATGCTTATACATCTGGGAGTCACATCTACACAATTAGTGATGCCTTTATCTATAATTCAATTTGTGGAAATTTTTAGCCTTAATTTCACTACAATTATTATACACATTGCATCTATCTAATCAAATTCTAAAAAATCATTTCATAAGAATTCTAAATTGTCCTTATAATCTAGATCTTCTAAAATTGATTCAAATTTGTTTTAGCTCTCTTCCGCTTTTTAGCCGCACCATTTATTTGTTTTATGTCTATAAAGCATTAATCCAATAAAAGTTACAGTCTAATACTACTTTGAAAAAGACAACATATCTATTGAAGTATTATGATCACCTCCAAAATAATGTGTATGTTAATTGGTACAATGAATTCATTTGGACAATGACCCATAATACAAAATATTCTATTAGTATTATTGAGGGTCTTACATTTGTTCTTTGGCTAAAAATTCAAAGATGTAGTTGTGTAGGAATAAAGCCACTTATAAACATTCTTACTTAAAGATTGAATACTTTGTGGAAGAAGTGCATCAGAAAAACTATGGATATGATATCTTCTAATTCAAACAAATGTAATCAAAGCCCACTTTCACTCAACTCCATGACATTTTAAATACTATTTTTTTTTGCAACACCTATAATCATATTTAAGAAGATCACTCGTAGTTGTATTTAATGGTATGTAATAGAAAAAATACCAATTGGAGCATGATTGTTGACAAACATTTCCGCATTGAATTTTTCCACTTTAGTTATAATTTATATGTCAATAATTCTATCCATTCATTCACAACATCTTATATCAGTTGCTGCCTAGTATATTATTATAAACACAACACACCACCTTAATTAATATCCATAGTTAAAATTTGTAAATAATTATTCCAAACCTACAAACAATATAAGCAAGAAGGAGAGACATTGGATCAATTCAAAGCAAAAAAATCAAAGATAATCCAAGTATCTGTAATCTATAATAAGTCATTGACCAAAAAATCACTTAAAATATCGTATTCTTTTTAAGACATGATCAACAAATATTTGACTAAGCTATCTTAGACAAAAATTATAATTATAAAATATGATAGATCAAGCTTCAAAATTTTCCATATTATGCACTAAAATCAAGGAGCAACAATGTACCATAGATCAACATAAATGCACCATTTGTCACTTTCAAGAATCTTTAGCTAGTATGAGATATTAGCTTGAAATGACCCAAGGTATAATTATTGCCTATGAAGCTACCTTCCACATTACATACCCAGTGGCTTTAGTATTGAAAATGGCCAATGAAACAACTTGATAATACCATGACAAATTTCTTGCCACAAATGTCGAATTGTGATGAGAAATATGTGAAATTGAAGAATAAGGAAGGATAGCTATTAAGAAATTAACAAAAGATTCAATGGATGGAATAAAAATACCTTGTAGAAGTGGCCCAAAAAATTTTAATGCCAATCATGCCAGTTGGATTTAAATGGCAATGCACATCATTATCTTTAATGCAATCCAACTAGCAAAACAAAGTCCTAATATTCAATATGCCAAAAAAGAGGAAATTTTACAACAATATATCATAGTCATGGTGAATATTTTAAGATTATTAAGTAAAGAAAAAAGATAAGAATTAGATGATATAGAGATGGAAGAATAAAGCTAAAAATGCACCAAAAAACTAAGTGATATATCCATGCAAGAAATCCTAGAACTCCTATGGCACAAACTATAGTCCATAGTTCCATCTCTTTGGCCAGAAATTTAAATGTTAGAAACTTGAACAAATATAAGTGATGTAGAAATGGATGTTGTCATATACCATGAAGTATGTTTGAAAATATATTAGACACTTTGCTATAGAAGGTAAAATAGAATTTTCAATAAGAAAGTTTTAACAACTCTAATAGAATCCTAAACCAACTCTAATTAAATCTTAATAATATTAATTCATCTTTAATCAAATCTAAAAGATATCTTTATGAAATTATAAAATAAACATAAAAAATAAAAAAAATAATCTTAAAAAAAAAAATATATATATATATATATAATAAAGAGACCTAAGAAAAAAATCAAAGAAATCTTAAAGAAATATTAAAAATAAAAACCTTAAATGAATTTTAATCAAATTCTAATATAATTTTAAATAAATCTTAATGAAATCCTAAACAAATCCTAATCAAAGCCTAATAAAATCTTTAAAAAATTCTAATCAAATCCTAAACTAATCCTAATCAAATCCTAATGTAATCCTAAATCAATTCTAAACAAATACTAATTAAATCCTAAAGAGATTTTAATCAAAGCTTAATGAAATCTTAAATCATTTAGCCAAATTCTAATATAATTCTATACCAACTCTAAAAAAATCCTAACCAAATTTTAATTGAATCCTAATTGAATCCTAAAGAAATCCTGAACAAATTCTAAATAAACACAAAAAAATTCAAAGTAAATCCTAACCAATCTCTACAGCTATTTTAAAATCTCAATAAATACTAATCAAATTATTGATTTCAATTCAAATTTCATCCAAATTTCAATCCTCAAGAAATTAATAAGCAAACAAAATTTGAGAAAAATTGAATTCACCAATAAAAAACAAAAAGCTCTTAAACCTTTTGGAAGTTGGCTACTATTCTTCTCCAACTTAGATATTGATCTTTTAGTAGCAATTATTCCTTGCTGAACCATTCAATTACCTTAAATTTTTATTGGTGTGAAGATTTCTAAGTCTAGATTGCTATCACTGATTTTATCTTCAATCAAGCTAGCAAATTTTTTTGGATCATAAAAACCCTCATTGATCCTAAATCTCAAAAATCCAAGATCTTTACCCAATAAAACTCTCATATCCTTCAATCTAATCATTTAATTGACATCAAATTTTTCAAACACACTGAAGACAAGCACAATAACAAACTTACAAAAATTCACGTGTAAATGTCTTACAAAACTCACAAAACACTCAAAATTGTAAACTTCTTTATAATTTTCAAAATCCAAAACCTCTAAGTACATCTCTTACTTTGAAAAGCCTTCAAAAACTCAATATGACTCCAAATCACATGAAACCAATTCTCAAAAAACCTTTCACTTATTTGCTTCCAAATCCCACTCTTTTTTCAACCAAAGAACCTTAGAATCGCCAGAGGTGCACGATTTTGTGACTTAAGATCTGATTTTGATCTAGGTTCACAACCAATCCTATTTGGGTATCAATTCTTGGTGTTTTGGGATAATTTTTACTAAAACCTATTCTTATCTCCCTCTTAAAGATGTCTATATGATTTATTTTCTTAATCTATTTTTTTTTGCTTTATTTATGGCCTTACAAAGTAAATAGAAGCCTCTTTTACAAGAAGGCAGTATTAACACTTATTAATTTTTACTACCACCTTGTCTATTATCTATATTTCTAAGATATTTTGTTAAATTATTTTTATTTAAGATCTTCTATAATATAATCTTTCCTTTCTTTTTTCACCTAATAATTGTATTACAACACAACAACATTGTCTCTATAGTCTTATTCCCTAGTTTTAGGGTATGCATGGTCAGCTACCACAAAAAAGAATTATTGATATTGGACACAAAATTTCAAGGCAACAATGATGACAAGAAAAGTGATGCCACAAATCAAGAAGCAACGGATGATGCAATATTAGAAAATATACTTGTCTTTACAAATACCAAGTATATGTTGTTTCTTTCTTTGTCTTAAAAGACTTTTGATATTTCTTATTTAATCCAAATATAGATTGCAATTTATTTGATGGTATGAATCAAATGTATGGCTTTTGTGAAATTTGTCTTTGAACAAAAGAGTAGATATATAATTTGGTTTATAATCCTTAAAATAACAAATATTTCTTGGATAAAATAATATTTCTTATAGAAGTATGTATCCATATAAATTACCTTGCTCTATAAGAAAAACAACCAGGAATTGTAATTCAATATTTATTCACATAATTTTGAGTTTAACTTTACTTCCACACATATTTAATGCAATTGTTTTTAACTTGAATCAAGTATTAATATCATACGCAAGGCTATTTTATCAAATAATAGGAGACATATTGCTACCTCTTGATATACTTATTCATTTTTTGTAAATATATATCTGCAACAAGACAAATAAATTACAAAATTGGCACATTTTGAATCCACATTTTAATATTATATAATTGGCAACCATTTAGGAAATTCTTGGTAAAATAATTATCTAGATGATTGTTTTTAAGCATGTTATTCACTGCCTTGCTACCAATCCAATTGAAGAATTGAACATTATTCTAGTGACATTAGTTATACAACGTACTATATGACACAGAAGGGAACCACAGTGTGGATGTTAAAGCACAATAATATACATGATCAACTTATTATTGATCTTCCGCCCACATACAATTTACTTTCATATCCCTTTATTACATATTGAATCATCTATCTAAACATCCAGATATATTGTCATTACTGTCCATATAAGTTTTGCTTCCAAGACATGGTAATATTATTATGATTGAGTTGTACCGACAAAATTCCCTGCAAATGATATGAATCCCACACATTCCACTGATGCAGCAATCAAGTTGATCATTTTTCAGAAAAAAAAAAATATATATATATATATATATATATATATTGCATTGTAATGAAGTAGTTTTGATATTCTACTGTTCCGAAATGTAGGAAGATTTGAATTTTCATACGTTATGAAATTAAGGGTATCATTGAATTAGTTTAATTGAAACACAATTTTAATCCATTTAGCACAGCTTTTATTTACATTAAGCATAATGGACATAAGACAACAATGCATTTGTGTGTCAATATGTAAAACCAAGTTAATTTCAAGAGACCATCAAATCAGTATTGACCTAGTCACTTGTTGATATAAGTGAGAAGTTTTAATACCATAAATGGCTGTAATAGTTGACGAAATTTGCTGTTCATAATAAAGGACCACATCAACTCATTGAAGCCTCAGGAACTTAGCCATAAGTTATGTGAATCAATAACCAATAGAATCGGGAAATGCCATTCGTTCTACAATAGGAATCTAAGCAGGCTCTGTATACAAAAAAAATACTGTCTTCCATCTAAGATTAAGATTATGAGCTGCAATGACGACTGCAATGTGTGCAATATTTAGAAGCACAACCGACATAAATGCTCCAAATAGAATCTATGAAACGCAAGGAATGCTGCTGTTCATTAAAACATACCTCTTGGTGCTCCACGCACGCATTTCAACTTTCCCTTCGTAAAAGCTGCATGCTCTATGTATCCTGTTTCAATGGCGACTTTCAGGATGGAATTCTGGGTTGTCCTCCGAGGGCTTCACTTCACGGCATTAATTCATCTAAAGAACTCAGTATCTGCTACTACGAGTGAGTTGTCCACCTGATTTTCACCACAAAAACTCAGGCAGAAAAATCCAGCGGCAGGTAGAATTCCTGTAAATACATAGTCAATAAAAACCATGAGCTCTGCTAAAATCACAACTGCAGATATTGGTAACATTTTCACCTCTCAGCTTTGTTTAGCATCAGTTGATGCCTAATACACATTAATTCAACTCGTGATGCATCTCATTTATAGAGGAGTCTCCTAAAACACACCGTTCTTACCAACCTTTATTAAAGGGGCCAGCCCTGTCAGCAGAGGTTGCAAGAAATTTTTTGCAACGGCAGTAGCGACCCTTGTTCTTGAGAATCATCCGAGCTGCCTTGAAAATCAATGCAATCAAAACAAATATACTAACTTCAAGGGGTCATGCACAGGCCAAGGATGGTGATAAGGCAATTGAAGAACCAAGCAAAGGATGGAAGCGTAGCATACTTGGGTAGCTGGAAGCAGCTGGAGAAAATTACATATTACTATCCTGCATGAGATTTTACAGAAGCTTGTAAACATTTTGAACTGATTCTTGGAAGGAGCCAAAGGAATGGATGTTGCTTTCCAAACACCTTTCTGAGATTTGTCCAGCTTTTATCCTGATCATGACCCCGGCCACTTGAGCTTAAAGAATCTATATAAGTTTCACCAGTGTAGACAAGCTTCACCTGATGATAAAGTAAGAGACCAACTCCAATTACCAAAGAAAAGGACGCTATACACAAAAAGATCAGAGAAAATGCGCGCGTTGATGCTGCCGGTTCCATACTCAAGAACATTGTAACCAACAGATCAGCTAAGACGTCATAGCTAGCTCCCCCATGCAGTCGAGGCGTATTAGCACGACGGAACCTCACCATATTTGGCCACACTTTAGAGCCCACATATGTTGACATTGTCAAAACATAAAAGCCACTAGCAGTTGCGAAAAGTAAGAAAAGTAGAAAATGTCGGTGGTTGTTCGATCCCACGCAATTGCCAATCTGCAACCAAGTGCGGACCGCAGCATACAATCAAAAGTTTTGTTTCAATTGTCACAAAATTTACAGCTGTCAACATATTGTGGGTTCCAAAATCACTCAAACAAAAAAGCAGTCATTCTATACGCATTCATTCTACACAAAATGCAACATACGCTGACACAAAGGTTCCCAATCCAGAAGATAATCCTGTTCATAGTTATAAGACAGGCAAAAAGAGGCAGAAAAGAGGGAAAATGTGGAAAAACGGGTGAGGTTGTTTACGAAGGGGCAGTGATGATCCATCTCGATCACGCAAGATTGGCAGCTGCGGCAGTGGTGCGCATTTGGTGGCTTCGGTAATTTGCAATATACGCAAAACTTGTATCCTTCCAAAGCCTGTCGTGGAACTAAGTCATACCTGCCCCACTCCACAGTTGGAGGTGGTCCGGCTCGTCTGAATGCCGCCATGCAGTAGTTGAACAGAGTGTTAAAAGAAAGAATGGTGGTAATGGCCGAATGTATATAAAACCCTACCGTTGCTGTTGGGAAGAGCACCGGAAAGGTAGACCAAACTCCTCCACCTACAACCGTACATGTCACCACACATAAAACCCTCCTGATCACGCCAAAATTGAGCATCACAACTCGCAAAACGTAGGGGAAAGACCAGAAAGCTACTCCAATCGTGCCATATTTCGTCTACCTCTTTGAGAATATAAATAAATTTGAACTGTAAACTCACCTTGACAGAAACCAGTCAAATCCTCCTACGTCTATCTGACGATTGTAAAAACTAGACCATGAAAACGTTGATCACAACGATCAAGATCATTCAGAGCCGAAAACCTTGCTACAGAAAGCTTTGTTACGTTCACAACATAGACAAGCAAGCTTAAAGCTTTAAGAATGCTCACAAATGATGGAGAAGGTCAACGACAGGACAAGGAACACAAAGACTTGGTCCCTTCCTTTTGAGCATCGTCTACTCCACGGCGATACAGGCTTGATATCAGCGTTGTCGATAGTTATTGCCCCACACCATCCACATCTAAACATTGGTGCATACTTGGGAAGGATCACACGCAGTCCGCAACCCCAACATATCGTCTCCCAACTCGCGCGCATCTGTAGTGACTGCACATGAATAATCGCATTAAAGAAAGATTGCAAATGAACCCACCTTCCTCAACACACTGATTTATTCTACTGTCACACCATTGGCTTGAGTTTTTCCACGATGGTAAAACTAACAATTAACTATGCCACTCTTCTGAAAATATGCCGGAAGACCAAACTGTGAAGTAAACACCTAACCCTAGCATCGGACCAAACAATCTCATTCAAAACATTCAAGACAAGAATGGTCCCCTGTGCGGAGGTTATAAATGGCATATCTGAGAACTCCAATTTGAACGACGAACATGCCCCGAGTTCGACGAGAAACTAGCCAACTACGCTGGAGTTCACAATAGATTACCTCTATTTCGATGCCGTCCACAACTGATCCCATCAGAGACTTGTTGACAGAAGCCTCCGGTTCGCAGCACCTCAAAAAAGAAAAAAAATCACTCTCTACTTCCTGATTGCGAGATCATACCGAGGCTTGCCAAACCTCTTCCTCATCGGAAAGGTCAACACCGACAGATTTTGAGCATCGAAAAGGCTGTATACTAGATCTCTCCTTTGCCATCATTCTCCCACTAAGTTTAACGTGTCCATCAAGAATGTGAAGAATGCAAAGCACACAGTGGAAAAATCCTGGGCACCTAGTGCAAAACCACGGCTTCCTGGGGGACGCTGTGGGCGGTAGTCTTTTCCGAATTCAACAACTGCAGGAAATCGGAAGACCCCAAGTTCGTACAAAACTGTTTGTCGGACAGAAAACGGACGAAGTTCGCTGGAATTTCCAACGAAGTTAAACGAAAAAGTTTCTCCAATCCACAACATTGGGTACAAAGGAATCCTATCCGCTGCAGCAGGGAGCTCTCACACTCCGTGCTCCTAACAAATACGCGCTTCTGGTTGCTCAAAGACCCCTTACGCTTAACGCTGACAGCATTCTGAAATGGCGGGGATGATATGTCCCGTGTCGTCCTCGACCTTGCCTCGGATCTCCGCTGCCCTCAAACAATTGAATTTAAGAAATGCAACAGGTGGGTGGTGCTATCGGTGCCAGGGATTATGTTCTTTTTCCCGTGATCTTTCTAGTATGAATTTTCATGAAGGGTTTGTGGGTGCCTGGTCTTTTGAGTAGGTTCTGTAAGTGTATCGTCTGCTGCATGGAGTAGCAGAGCATTCGGCCAGCCGTTGGTTCAGACATCGACCCAGTCGCGGCAGTTTGTGTGCAATGCCTTAAATAAAGGTGCGTTTCAATCTCCAATTCGCAGGTTTTAGGGTTCATGTTGAGGAGGAGCTTTTAGAGATTATGCTCTGTTTTTCTTAAAGCGTGTAGTTTAGGCGCGTGCTACTGTGTTTTGTTGCTAGAGTATAGAACAATGAATACGCAACTTTGCGGAAGTAGCAGTAGTAGACATTAGGGTATGTTATTTTTATCCTTTCCGTGATGTGTTCTCTCTTGAATTTAGATCAATTGGACAAGGCTAAAAAGTTTCAGCTACAAGCCACCGAGGTTCTCGCAGAGCTTTTGAAATCTAGTAACGTACAATCGACAGCTGCGAAGTTGGTGGATTCTCTCACCGAAGAGTTCTTCATGGTGGCTTCGACCTATTTTGAAATGGTACCATCTCTTTCATGTAGCTTGTTCTGAGTTCTTGACTACCAAGCAGTTTGGTTGGATGATCTCTCCCATGTATTTTGTGTGCTTTGTGATTTGTTGAGATGATAAATTGCGTGGTTTCAATTGCGGTGATTGAAGGATTGTAATATAGAGCCTTTTGTCATGGACTTTACTAACTCGAGGGGAGCCGAAGAGTGATTCTTCTTTTGGACTGAATTCTTGCCTTATTGTTGAAGCTATAGGAAAAATGTTTCGAGAATGGTAGACTGTGTACGTCTTTCTGACAATTGCGATGCAGGGCTTGCATTGGGTCGCTAGGGTTTGGTGTGAGGAATCTGCGAGTTGTGCAGTGTTCATTGCCTGATATGCGCAACTTGTATTTCCCTCTGCCACAAGTTTGTATTGTCTGTAGCTCTTGTCAACCGCTTATGTTCGCTTTCGAAGGATGCTAGCGAAGAAGAGTATGGTCCTGCAAACTGTTCCCTTCTAGTGGAGATGTGTCATTGGATATATTCACTGATTGATTTTTGATGTGTTTTCTAGGCCAAGAAGGAAGGTAATGCGGAGGTTATGAAAAGAATTGAGGGGGTACTAGAGGTTGCTATGGCTGAGAAAGGCAAAACACTTAGGCCCGAGATTCAACTCATGAATAAGGTACTTCTCGTGAAACCCTTCTGCATAGCATTCAATGTGGTTGGTCTGATTTTGATTATCTTTTTTCTACTCAGGCAACCCTATTTGAAAGTCGCTACTGCATGTCTGCAGTATGGTAATCATAAAGAATGGTGGTTGTTGTAGTTGCTGAATGAAAAAGATCAAGGGAAGCGGGCAGAAACTATGCGAAGTTATTCGCAGTATATTACGGATTCGGACGGCTACTTTTATGAGCTGCTCCAGCGGATGAACAATGACGTGGAGGGTCTTAAAGACAGCCCCAAGAAACAGGAGTTGTTGGGAAAAATTCGAACTGTCACGAAAGAGGTCAAAGAGACCGGCAGAGCATTCAGGAAAGCGAAGTAGAGGCGAGAGAGAGTTTTGTAGAGGAGAAACTTGGGTAGTAATGTGGATGAGGTTGAGCAGGTCAGGAATAAAATTACGGACCAGTCCTTTGTGTATATTTGGAGCTGCGAAATTCGAATTATGGAAGGTTGTCTCACATGCATTTTCCTTACTGTCGATTGCTGTTGTAGAAAAGGTTCTTCCACTGAGGAATGGACTTCTCATTCACGGAGGAGCCACGTGAGGCATCCATTCATAACAGTCCAGTTGTAAAACATTCCAGACGCGTTCAGACGTTGTCACTGTATCGGATACCAAGATTTTGGACAGATGTGGGTGAAAATTCATTGTGTGCATTTTACTTGCATTACTTGCATTGTTTCTGTGTCTTCTGCTACCGTTATGATTTGTGTAACTGTTTGTGAGTGTTCATTCTGCTTGTTATTGTCTTCAAAACTGTAGATGGATTGGGTCTTCTCCAGTTAACAGGCATGCAAAGGCATGCTCTACAGAAAAAGATAAGGCCGTCAATTTGATGTTTTGATTTTGTTAGTTCATCGCTACGTGGTTGCTGTTGAGATGTTAGTTCATCACTGCTCAGCTTGAACACCCGAAATTATCAGCTTTGCAGGATCACTGACTACGCCATGCTCTATAATTGAAGTCTAGACATTCTCCTGATCAGCTTATTCTGGAACTCATTGAATGTTTGTGAAATCGTGAATTGCCTCAGGCTCTACGGCCCTTGAGACCCCGAAGTTCGCAACGTTAGCGTTGAATTGATCGTCCTGAACCACGTCGGAGGTCCTCACATCGCAGAGACAAACGGGTGTGGGGACTTGGGAATCCAAATATATGCGTAAGAAACAAAGGAAGTTAGAACTGGGGTTCTCACACGAGGGCTTCAACCATATCGATGACGATCTGAAATCTTCTATCCCGGTTGACATGCACCCTACTTTTTTCTCTTTGTAAGAGCTGAGATAGGTCACTACCAGGTACATACCCAATTACTAAAGATTCTACTTTGATGCAGCACTCCTGAAATCCCACAAGGTTGTGATTCACGAACAACAGCACATAGACCTCGTTCATAAACTACACACATGGTTAACCGCTACTCTTACGCTGTCGTCCAGTGTCCCTTCGTGCGCAGTGCCGAACCCTCTGGTGCACATTCCGCAAACCTGCTAGAAGCCATTGTGCTAATTTGCATAAACTCCAACACAATTCGTGGATTCGCGACTTGGATCTCTGGGTGTTTTGTCAATATCGATCACGGAGATTGACTAGACACTCAGAGATCCAAGCTGGTGATGGTGACCAGCTCGAAACAAGATTGCTCACCCACACCCCAACTTGTTGAATGAACCGTCTTAAGCAAGATTGATAAAATTGCAGCCAATGGAGTCCATAGTCATGCGGAGAAGCAGCGGAAGTTCCTTTTGGACAAACTCTGCTTGTGCCATGTCCCCATGTTTTGCAAGAGTAAGGGCAAAGAGCACCAAAGTCATCTTTTGTCAATGTAAGTCTTTTTGGTAACCAATGGTTGAATAACAAAACAATATTAAGAATAATAGCATGTATCCATAAAAATAGATGTACATTTTTTGGAATTATATTATTAATGTCCAAGTTAAGGTGTCATTGTAAAACTGATAACAGAAGTATAAATAGATACATTTGTTTTGATATTTTTTTTAAAAAATAAAAATAAAAAATAGAGCAAAGCTTTTCTTAGATGATTAAACATTATAATATTTGTGAAAATAATTAGAAATTAAAATTAATGTCTGTAAAAATTTATTTATGGTATTTAAGATATAAATATCTATATTAAAAGCCAAATTCCCCACAAAAATTACTTCTGAATAATTTTTTTTGACTATGCTTGTTTCTTTTTTAAAATTTAATATATAAGATGTTAATCTATCTGGGTTGCAATTAGTTTTTTATTTATCAAGTAGATTATAGCAAAGGTTTTATGCAAAAACACAATACTCTATGTATATATATACATATACATATTGTTCTTGTATAAAAAACATTCTAACCAATATTAGACACACCTTCTATTAAATTAAAATATTAAAATACTTACTTCTTGGATTAAATTATTTATTAATTTAAATTATTAGTATTATTTTTTTACTATGTAAAAATTACAATGTATTATTAAAAAATATTGACATAATCTTTTTTTTAAAACAATTTGATAAGTAATTTGTATTATTTTTTAAAATAAAAATAATCTGTAAATTGGAATCAAAGTACTTTTTGAGCATTTTTTTATCTTAAAGTATTCAAGTTTTAACCATAAAATTATCATTTTATCCAGTCAATGAATTACAATGATTATTTACTTATTTATTTAATCATAAATTATTATTATTATTATTGATTATTGATAAATCAAAAAATTAAATGTTTTTTATAATATACTAACTATAATTTAAAAAAATTAATAATTTTTTCAAAAAAAATCTTCTTATTAACAAGAATTTTAATGATTATATATATATATATATATATGTATACATATATATGTATTAAATATAATAATATTTAGTAAACTATTTGAGATACCAAAATATTTCACATGGTATAAAGATTATTTTAAAATATCTTTGAGTAAAGTAAAGAAAGCTTAAAATATATAGTTAATAATTATATTAATAAGTAAATATATCTCATTATAAAAATCATGGCTACATTACGATTTTTATCAATATATCTATCAATAAAAATATAGTGTACATTGTAAAAGAAATATATTGAAATTTTTATTGTCTTATGATTACTTGCACTTAGAATATGATTTTTTCAATTAAAACTAAGAATTTATGACAATTAAAATTATGATCTTAAAATACAAATTCTGTTATAGATGTGACTATTTTTAGTTTATTACACCTTATATTGATAGATATATTGATAAAAAGAATACATGAAAGAAATATATTGAAATTCATATAAATTCATATATATTCATATATTTTTAATAAATTTAATCATTATTTTAGTTTTTAATTTTAAAATTTTAAATATGTATATTTCAAAATCTTTAATATGAATAAATTAATAATAATAATAATAATAATATATACATATTATATTAATTAACCCTACAAATATTTAAAATTTAAAATTTAATAGTATCTTTTTCTTTATATATCATTAGCATTTTTATATTTTTAATATTATAAAAATAGAGAATTTTTGACTTTATGTCTCCGATTGATATTACTTTACTCCATATGACCTCCTTGTAGACAAATAGTTAATAATATGTCTCTTTTTTTTGTGAATTTTTTCCTTTCTTTGCATTAAAAAGATGGTATTTGGAAGGGACATAGTAAATATTTTATAAAAAAAATAGGTTGCAATCCATTTTAAAAAAAAAAAAAAAAATCTTAAAAATTATTTAATTTCAAATTATGTATTAGTATTATTATTATTATTTAGCTGCCAAAGATACAAAAAAAGTTATTATTTGATTTATTCTACTTTTGAATCAATAGTAGATTTAAGTAATAGGTTGCCAAATGCATCCTTAAAGTAGATGTGTGCTTTTCAGTCAATTTAAGTTGTGTGGAGGTTATGTAGAGTATAGCAATATTAATAGAGGATGTAGCATTAATAATTTTCTAAATATATTCTAAATATTTTTTTGAGTGGAAAAACATTTATAAACTTTTTTGTACATTGTATATATTTATAAATGTTTATGATATTGTACCTTTAAAGAAAACTAATATAAATAATTATATATATATATATATATATATATTAGAAAAAATCATTGTCATAGATTGATTCTTAGTTGATATAATTTTAATTTTAATGAATAAAAAAGTGCCACGTCATATACAAACATAGACTCTATATCAATCCAAATAAAACCTGTACTATAATAAACATTTGTAAACAATTGTTAGATGGTAACTAACATGCTGTGATAAGATTATTGAGTTTCAGTAATTTGATATACGCCATATGTAACTTTGTAAATCTGTTTAGAAAGATATATATATATATATATATATTTTATATTTAGTGCAAATATGTATATGTATATTTAACATGGTAAAGCTTTTTCTTTGGTGTGGATAATTCACTGTGATGGCAAACTATGCATGTGGTTGAGGTGGCACTTCTTTCACCCAATTCTCATTCATAAAAATTTGAGTGTATTCAAGGGTCTTTCACCACCACACCACCAGTGTCAAATTAGAGCTTTTGTTAGTCATTGCAAACTTCCCATTGTCAGTACTAACATACAGCTTTCAGTAGGCGTAGTTTTGAGGATCATTTTGAATATGTAATGAAGGCTGATATGTATCGTAGAAGCTCCAAACTGTGCAGCTTAGAACACTTCTAGTGTCGGTTATATTGTCGTATACAACTGTGTGTTAGAGCCGCAAAATCTGCATTTCAACTTAGTTTAGAGCGAAGGCCACGATTGGTCCCAACTTGGCTCGTTGTTCGCACCGCATATCGTAAGAGTTGCTGCACTGGATTGAAGGATTCAGATTGAAACTTCCCAGTCAAGAGGATGCACCACAAACTGATGCATGGAAAACTAGCCTAGGCCCTAACTAGTTGGCTCTGACCTACTTGCCTCGTTGTTTTAGAAATCTCTAGAAAAATAGATGAGGGATTTTATTGCATGCTTTGCACACGAGGAGTGAGGTAAATAAATGCAGTACTTAGATCACCTAAGAAGACAAAAATACTCAAGTCGGAACTACTTGTACAACCACGAATATGATTCGGTACTGTAGTCATGCCACTTCTGCTGAAACGAGCACTGGGTGGGGAGGAGGCCTTTTCTAGGATAAAATTCGATGCTTTATGGTATAGTGTACATGAATTAGTCTTCGCATACGCCCTTTGATGAGGGGATGAGTAGGTCAGACGTTTGTGTTGAAGTTCGTTGACGTGATACTTCAAGTTTCAGACAGAAATCGCTCACGAATCCCTCCTGGCTGATGGAACGATTCAGGCGAGGCCGACAACTGAACCATTAATCTCATGCAATTCTTAACATTCCAACTTTCTGCAATTCGAAAACAATGTTGACAAGTGATTCTTCAGTTCCAGAAAGACTCATGGTATGGATAAACTTACATGATATTCCTCTCGACTCTGACAATCCCCGACGGTAAATATGATCGACATGATAAAGCCTGTGCATGTAGCCTGAATTTCACGCAGTTACTTGGTCAGTGATTCTCCACAAGATTCCCGTGTTAGGGTTACAGCACTCATCTAAGGTAAAAATGTCGGCAATTTTATCAGGTACTTTGATTGGACTTGCTGATCCCACAGGAAGACAGCTAGGACTGGAAGAC